AGAAACTCCTAGATTGGAGATATTTTGTATTAGATATGTTAGAAAAGTAAGATTTGTCTAGAAACTCCTAAGTTGGAGATATTTTGTTTTACATATGTTAGAAAAGTAAGAATTTTCTAGAAACTCCTAGGTTGGAGATATTTTGTACTAGATATGTTAGTCTTGATTTAAAATGAGTGGTGGTTAGTGAGCCACATAGGTACATAGTTTGGTGTGAGATATTTTGCTTATTATGTGGTTGTAATTCTCACACTTTATCTATAAATACACCATATGTAATGAAACATCTAGTGAAAACAATTGAACTCAAGAAAACTTATGCCTTTTTCTTCACTTTCAGATTTTTTGTAGCAATTTACAGCTGCTATTTCCTACTGTATACACCTTGTAGACCTGAAGTTCTTCTTCTTTTCGTTGTAACAGAAATACTTGAGATGTACTAGGCCAAAAATATGACAATTGTTTATACCCTGACAACACAGTAACATTAGAGTCCTGATAGATGGGCATCCGTCGATAACTCTTTGCAATTGGTCATCTGAAATATGGACATTATTCAAACAAAGAGCCTCAAGACAATCAAATCTTATGTGAGTAGTGATACTATCAAATTCAAAATTGCACTTTCTTAACTGCAATGTTGTCAGGTATTTAGCACCATAAATAACATTAGGTAAACTATATAAACATAAAAAGGAAGGGTGAATCCCTAGGACTGTGACGTTAAGTTTAACCGCCAATTCAATCCAAGTATGCACGTGAGAATCCAATTTTGGATCCTGATATGTAAGGATGAATTGTTCAAGATGTAAGTTTTTTTTGACATGAGATCGCAGAGATTGATCAACCAACTTGACATACTTTTTGGGGCTCATACATCTATTGGTACTGTAGTTTTGTGATTGATGGAATATGAGATTAGGTCCGGAAGACCAAAAAAAGTACCATCTCTTGGATAAAATACAACTTTTAGCTGCCTCTTCGATGTCGAGGTTAGTGCGGCATAAGATGTGATGAATAATATGCACAGGCAATTCTGATATTCTGTCTTCTCCACAAACTCTTTTTGCCATATTGCTTCGTTTTGATTTCTTGGTGTCGTCCTATGTCCTCTTTGAGGGTTTCACTTCCTCCATCATTTATTAAGTAAATAGCCACTTTTAACACTTACTGTCAAATATTAGTTACTATTTTTAACCGCATAATACATAAATATGCTCTTTAACTTGACAAAGATCAGATTCACCCATATCTTATCTAGTTTATATTTAAACCTGAATCCTGCATCTTCTTATATGAAGTTGAACAAATAAACACACGTATCCTACCTGGCATACTATATGGCAATTTGCATCCTATGTGGTGTCCTATGTGTATTATACCATATAGGACTCATGTATGTGTCTACTTGTTCAACTTTATACAAGTTTAAATGTTTATTTGTGCTCACGCAATGTTGAAGGGCATAAATATGAAATGAGGTCAAATTAAAAGGAACATTTATTTATCGGAAAAGGGTCAAAATTGCCCCTGAACTATGCGAAATAGACCACTTATATCCTCAGTTACATATTTTAGGATAAAAAATGTCCCTACTGTTACCCTAAGAGACCACAATTACCCTTAAGACTTAATAAAAGCTATTTGGCAAGCCACATGACACTAATTCCGCCACATAGGCTTGCCAACTAGGATACCCATTAAAAAATTTGACCCAACTAGGATACCCACATGACATGGGATCGCAGGGATTGATCAACCAACTTGACAAACTTTTCGAGGGTCATATAGGTATAATTGGTATTATAGTTTTGTGATTGATGGAATATGAGATTAGGTCTAGAAGATACAACATCTTGCCGGCTCTTTGAGGTCGAGGTTAGTGCGGCATAAGATGTGATGAATGACATGCACATGCAATTCTGATATTTTGTCTTCCCCACAAACACTTTTCGCCATATTGCTTCGTTTTCTGGTGCCGTCGTATGTCCTGTTTAAGGGTTTTACTTGTGAGAATTGATGACTGAAAGGCTCCTAGTGGGAATTAAGTGAATAGCCACTTTTAACATGACCTATTGTCAAATAGTAGCCACTATTTTTATAAGCTATTAATATTCAGTCACTCTTTTGACCATTGGCCATCTCTTCTTTTGAAACCAAGCCATATTCTTTCTTGTTTGAAAAAAGTTGCTTGATGTGCCTATTGATTGAACAAGCCTAGATATAATATCCCAACGAAAGAAATGCCATGGGAGTTTATGTATGAGAATCCAAACAGGGACAATAGATGTTTCAAGTCCGGAGTCCACTTGAAGACTTTCATAGTATATGACTCAATGTGTATGAAAGGTTTTCCTAACCTAACCAAGGTATTCGTTAAGGAGATCTCTTATCCCCATATCTCTTTATAATTGACGCGCGCTACTGCTGATAAATCATGGAATCCTATCAAGCTAAGTCGTTTCGAAACTAGCTCCCTCTGGCATTTGCTTTTTGCACATGATCTTGTCCTTTTTTACCAGACTACAACTTCGAATGTGCAGCCATTGTCTGCTGACTATCAGTATATTCTTGAAAGAATTACTCCGCGCCTTCAAGGATGACACACTAAAATTTCTTACTTTGGCTGGCCGCACTACTCCTTTATTTTAAAATAGAGAGAGCAGGTACATTTGCAGTTAGAAAAATATCAAACAAGTACTCACTACAACAAAAACAATTTTTAGCGGCAATAAATATTGACATTAATAAAAAGTGTTAAGGTTTTTTACCGGCATTAGTTAAGTGTCATTAGAATCAATGTCGCTAAAAGCTTTAGGGACATATACAGAGAGTGCTAATTGCCGCTAAAAATACATATTTAGCGACAATTAAGAATTAATTGCCGTTAATGATCATTTTTTATATAGTGACTATGATAAAATATTAGTAGTTCTTCAATTGGAAAGTCATGGGGGGTTTTTGGACCTAACTCGAAAAGCTGAAATTTGTATTTAATCAATTCGGTAGGCACCTTTGATATCAGTGGGTAGCTCATCTTCAGAGAGAAAATCATGCTATGGATCAGTTAAGCCACCATTGTTTTTCTTCTTGATGCCATGAATGATCTCTTTAGTCAACAATTAACATCCCTTTAATAAATCCAGATTGATTATCTGAGATTATTGAGGGAAGAATTGTGGCCAACCTACTCGAGAGGATCTGATTCTAAAGAACTTTGGAGAATTATGTTCAATTTCTTGATTTCTACATACAAGGAAGGCGTCTATCTGTCTACAACACCAACCCTTTAGAATAGTTGAACTAAGAAGAAACTGAGTCGGGCTCTTTCCAGGGAAGAACGATCCATAGATGAGAAGGGCATTTTATCACCCTCAAATTCAAATGTCAATAGCTTTGGAGCTTAAATCGTGACTTTTTCCAGATTCTTCCTCTGTGATAAGGTAAATTTTTTTAGTTTTTCATTCTGGATCTCTATATTTTTCAAATTATGGCATTCTGTGAGATTCAATTCTGAAATGTTTGGGAACTTATAGGATACATCTCGAAACTGTTGGTCCGTGATGCTGGCACCAGTGAGCTTGAGTGTTTGTAAAGTATTGTAACCATCCAAAATAGCAATTTCGCAAGGATGACAGGACCTTCTGCATATCTAAAGAATTGAAGATTTGGGGCCTGGACTATCACTCTATTAAGTTTGCACAATACAACTGTCAAATTCTTCAGATGTACTAGGCCAAAGACATGCAATTTGCTTATTCTCTGGCAATCGATTAGGGATAGATTCCTGATGAACGGGGATCTATCCATAAGTCTTTGCAATTGAGCATCTGAAATATGGACAGCATAATGCAAACAAATAGCCTCAAGACAATGAAAACTTATGTGAGTGGTGCTAACATCAAATTCAAACTTACACCTGCTTAACGACAATGTTTTCAGTTTTTTTAGCATCATAAATAACATCAGGTAAGCTATATGAACTTAAGAAGGGAGGGTAAATGTCCAGTACTGTGACGTTAAGTTTAACTGCCAAATTCTGTCTTGTTTGAAAAAAGACTTCTTCTGAACACACTAATTGACTCTATTTACTGAATTCCCCAAGACTAGCGGGTCGTAACAATCGTCACAGGTGGCTTGCAACGTGCAACAAATCAGCAGGACACATCAGAGGCCAATAACACGACCACTAAAATCCATCTACACAAACTAGTGTCGGTAACAAGGATATGATCGATGACACCACTCTGATGGAATGTGACTGCTTACCCAACAAAGGACCTAGTTCTAAGGCTAAGAGAAGGACCACCACTATGTTTCATAGGTAAGCTAAAAGACAGCAACTTAGTTGAGCACAATGCTCGCATTCTCATTAATTACCTATCCCCTCGTGATTTGTGCCCTTTGTAATATACAAACTTTCTCTGGATTTGCTAAGGGCCCAGTTTGGCTTGATATTCTGATTAATTTCTTCCCCATCTTCTTAAGCTTACTGTGTGGTTTTCTTTTGAGATGGCTAATAAGTGTAGCTTTAGTGGCCAGAGTTAACATTGTGGCATTCCGCTTCCTAAATTGATTCTATGCTCTTTTGCACGTTTTTAATATAATGATGCCAAAAGGGGAAAAATCTATGTCAGTTAGGTTATCATCAAAATGGGGGAAATTGATTGTGTGTGCATGTATAAATATACGTTTAGCATGAGTTAGATCGACACAAAGAGTTCAGAACAGAGTGTGACGTTCCAGTGTGAAGATAGAGGAATTCTGTTCTATTTCATCCCGCCGGTTGAAATTTGCAAGAGATTAAACGCTGATGGTTTGTCATTACCCATAGCAAGAGTTAAAATTCTCTTCTATTTCATTCAGAAAAGAACAATTATTGCTGAAGCTGGGGTGACGATATTTAACAACTGCAACTAAACTACAGATATGTAATAAATCATACTTCTTCTCAACACACTAATTAACTCTGTTTGCTGAATTCCTCCAAACTCTTCGGTCTAGGCTTCATCTTTCCATTTTAACACGAAATTATTCACTTGGTCAATTACAGATGTGGATTTCAACCAGAGATACCACATGGAGGCAGCCATTCCCTCTTCAGATGTCCCACTACAACTGATAACTTCTTTTAAGTTACGAAGCCACTTGGTATTGAATGGACACTGTTTACCACAATTTTGCTTTTGTGTACACCCTTTTAGTGTAGACATCGCCTGCATTTAAATAAAAACATAAGATATGTTATACAATAATGCTTATGAGACGAGCAATCAACATTTAACAACAAATTTTCTTCTCAAATTAATGTCTTAGTTTATACAAGCACAAGGGACGTTTTACCTGTAGTGCTTTGCTATCTGTACATGGAAGTATGGATATGATATAGGGACTTCCGAACATTATTATTCCAATGATCGATTCAACACTCAGCATGGATGCAATGAATATCTCGGCTTTGTGACTTGGTGGAATAACAATTTCTCTTAGATTTTCATAAATTAGGATGCTTTTGGTCTGCAAGATTTTAGTCAATGCCATAGTTTAAACCAAATTCAACAAGTAATGCATAAATCAATGACATAAGCACAAAAATAATGTAAACTACCTGGCGACAAAATATTATTAATGTGAGTCGGGCACTTTCTAGGGAAGAAGTATCCATAAATGTGAAGGGCATTTTACTACCATGAAAATCAAATTCCAATAAATTTGGAGCTTGAATCGTGAGTTTTTCCAGACTCTTCAACTCTAATAAGGTGAATTTCTTGAGTTTTTCACTCTGAATCTCTATATTTTTCAGGTTATAGCATGATCTTAGATTCAATTCTGAAATATTTGGGAACTTATAAGATACATCTCGAAACTGTTGGTCTGTGATGGTGGCACCAGTGAGCTCGAGTGTTTGTAAAGTATTGTAACCATCCAAAATAGCAATTTGGCAAGGATGAAGATTACCCTGTTCAGTAGGTTCTGTATATCTAAAGCATTGAAGATATGGAGCTTGGACTATCACACTATGGAGTTTGCAATAACTAGCATCGAAATACTTGAGATGTACTAAGCCAAAAATATGACATTTGCTTATACCCTGACAACACTGTAACTAAGGGGTCGTTTGGTTTGAAAATGAGTTATGATGGGATAAGTTATGTTGGGATAAGTTATGTTGGGATTAGTTATGATGGGATAAGTTGTGTTGGGATTATTTTTTATTGAGTGTTTGGTTTGTTGTATTCAAAATAATAAATTTTAAGAACAATTTATTTGTTTACAAAAATGCCCTTCATTAATGTAAAAAGTGATATAACAAAAGGGTTGAAAGAGACATTTTTGTCATTTACCTATTTTATCCCGGGATAAGTTATCCCGGGATTACTATACCACCCAAGGAGAGGGATAACTTATCCCGATACTAATTATTAATCCCGAGATAAGTTATCCCGAACTTGCCAACCAAACAACAAAATAAGCGGTACTATAATTTAATCCCGGGACTATTTGTTACTATACCTCACACCAAACGAGCCCTTAGAGTCCTGATAGATGGGCATCTGTCGATAACTCTTTGTAATTGGGCATCTGAAATATGGACATGATTCAAAGAAAGAGACTCAAGACAAGAAAATCTTTCGTCAAATTCAAAATTGCACCTGCTTAACTGCAATGTTGTCAGCTTTTTAGCATCATAAATAACATCAGGTAAGTTATATGATGATGTTAAACCGGAACGGTGAATCCCCAGCTCTGTGACATTGAGTTTAACCGCCAATTCAATCCAAGTATCCACGTGAGAATCCACTTCTGGATCACGATATCTAAGGATGAATTGTTCAAGATGTAAGTTTTGTTCGACGTGGAATCGCAGAGATTGATCAACCAACTTGACATAGTTTTCAAGGGTCATATCAAATTGATAGAATATCAAATTAGGTCTTGAAGTCCAGCAATCGTACCATGTCTTGGACAAGATACAACTTCTCGCCGCCTCTTCAACGCCGAGGTCAGTGCGGCATAAGATTTGATGAATAATATGCACAGGCAATTCTGATATTATGTCTTCTCCATCAACACAAACTCTTTTTGCCATATTGCTTCCTTCGTTTTGAATTCTCTCTAAATTCTAAAATATGTGTAACGTTTGAAAAGTTGCATGATATTTATAGAGTTTCACTTGGTCAAAGTCAAGTTTGGTTTAGGAATACTTTTTTTTACTTTTCCTTTTCTTTATAGGGAAACACGTGATTCAGATTCTACGGCGATTGAATTTCAATAAGAGGGAATGTAGGGAAACACACTCGCGGAAAATAACTACTAGAATAACCGTACGTGGTTTACACGCGCTATTAGTGCAAGTGGAATTCGGTGTGCTAAATAAATAGTTGGATACAGCCGTCACTGTGTTCAGCGTGGCATAAGCTAAGTGAATATCCACTTTTTATTTAATTTTTTACCTAAAATTTAAAAAAAAGGGAAACTAAGTAAATACCCTATAAAAGGGTATAAAATGGAGTAATTTAGTTTGAGTAAGTGGGTATTTGCTGAATTAGTTTGAATCCCCCGCTATGAAAAATTACTTGGATGAGTTTCTTTTAATAAATAATTATTGATTTTAGCGATACTTTTTATTTATTACCATTTATAGCAATACATAACAATATTATGTTAAATCTGTAATATGTATTAAAAGTGAATTATGTATGCAGTATATATGTATTATGATTATTTTTTAAAATGTATTATGCTTATTTGTTTAGAAATTGACACATTGTATTATGTGCCCGTTTGGATTGACTTATTTTAGGTGTTTTTAAGCTAAAATAACTTTTAAGTAATTTTGAAGTGTTTGAATAAAGTTAAAAAGTGCTTATAAACACTTATTTTAAAGCCAACAGTCATAAATTAGAAATACTAACTTATGACTTTTGGCTTATACGTCATAAGCCAAAAGCCAAAAGCCAATTCAAACAGGCCCTGTGTCTCTTTCTCAAATTAAAAAACTTAAATAGTCAACAATTATATGAGAAATATTATATAATATAGTGGAAATACATCTTAAATGTTAATCAAAATTCATTTGAATTTTAAAAAGCAAAAAGCAAAAAATAACATATATTTTGTCGCATATTAATTGTTAAGTACTCTACTCGAAATTAATTGTTTGAAAGTAAATAATATTGATAGCATGAAAAGGATTAAGGTTATGATTTCTTAAAGAGTGTGTGAATGAAAAATGACAACTAATATAAAATGAAGGAGTAATAAATTGATACTCCCTCTGATCAGGAAGAAATGGTATTTTAACCTTTTACATTTTGTTTCGGGATAAATGGTTTTAAGTTTTCAAGAAGGAATTAATCTTATTTTTTTCAAAATTATTCTTGTTTTAATTTATGAATTTTACATTATTGAAGAACTACTTCTTTTATCAAGAAATATAATCAGAGGTAAGTTAGTAAAAACACTTCTAACTTTTGCTTGGAATGAGTAATATCTTTAGAGTATGGTCAGACTAAAAATATCACTTATTTTGAAATGGAGATAGTATAATTAAGTGCGCACATATCCTTACTTTTGTTTTGATTTGTTTGTTTTACTTTCCTTTTTAATTTATTTTAAAAACATGTAATTTTTTTCTTTTTTGACAACTCTTTAGTTCTAACTTTTCACGTGACATATTTAAAATTAATAAATTTAAAAATATTTTAATATATTATATGTATTTTTTCTAAAATTACATGATTCAATAAACTTTGCCTTAAGTGTATTAAAATATGTGATAAATGTATTATCCATTAATAAAATTTGTATTATATGTGAATAATAAATTGTTCTTTGTAATATGTATTAAAATTGTATTATAAATTTATTAAAAGTGATCAAGTGAAAAAAAATGTTATCGCTATAAATGATAAAAAAAAAAAAAAAGGAAAAATCACCCCATATACACATTTAAGAGTCAATATTACAGGTTTTAAATCTACTTTTAAAAAATTCTTGCTTATAACAATTTAATTACGGGTTATAACATATCACTAATTAAATTTTACTTTATTAAATAAGTAATTTTTTATCATTTTATATTATTATTAAATTATTTAAATAAAAAATACCTCATAATTATCTCTTACACAATTATAGGGATTTTACATTGATTACGCTTCCTTATTTAATGTTATACTCATAACCTCTCATTAGTCAATCCCACCACCCTTCCCCCACACATATCCAACTATACAGGCTATCACCCCACTTTCACCTTCTTCTCTCCCATTTTTCTCACCAGCCAACTACACCAACATTCAATCTTTCGTCCAATTTTTTTTCCAACAAAATTATGTCTAAGAAACCCATTGAAACGCCTCAAAAGAGTCCCAGATTGGGTGAAGGAACATCTAATGATGATGTTCATGTTTCAAATTTTAATATATTAACTCAACCCCCCCTCCCCCCCCCCCCCCCCCGCCTAAAATTGTTGAAAATCCGGCGAATATTCAAAATCCGACGACGGATGGTTCATCTAAGTTGAAGGAGCAACAAAGAGAGAAAAAATGAAGAAAAAAAAAGGTCACTCCTGCAAATCAAAAGGGGAAGAAGAGGAAGGGGAAAATTGTTGAAACCCCTTCTGATTCCGATTTTGATTTTGTTACCGAAATCAAAAAGAAAAAAAAACAAATGTAGAAGTTGGAGCATCGTCAAAACCATCAACAAGAAGAACAACAAAAAGTTATTTTTTTTAACTTTTGGGCAATTTTTTTGTGTTTAAGTATTTGATGATATATAATATCATATGTTTTCTTTCATGCAGATACCGTTTACAAATGAATTACCGATTGCCTATTACAATTTCAAGATACTATTTTGAAAATATCAGTGTGTTTCCAAACTATACATTTATTGGATGAAATCTGTATGAAATCTGATTAATATGTGTATGACTACACTTAAATTTGAATTGTGATATAATAATGGTATGCAAATGGTATAAATTGCGTTTTAACATTGGTGTGATTGTCTATTAACTGTGTTTATGATATAAATTATTAAATTGGTATGAAAATGGTATGATTTGTCAAACTACTGATTTTTTCTATAAAAAAATCACATTATGCTTACTTTATATTCTAAACATGTTTTTGGATAAAACGTGTATGAAATCTGATTAATACGTGCATGCCTATGAGTTTAATATTTTATTATCGAATATTGTATGAATTGTGATATAATATTGATATACAAATTGTATAAATTGTGTGATTATATGAATTTATCAATTTTTATACATGTTGTTTGGATAAAACGTATATGAAATTTTGATTAATATGTGTATTACACTAACTGAAGTTAGTGTGGGAATGAAACACTAACTGCAATTTGTTTTAAATTTATTTATAGTAGGACACCAGTTGAAAACCAAATTAATATTCATGTAAACTTACATTAAATTAAATACTCAGGATACCATAATTACTTTTTATAATTATCACTAATATTTACACTATCTTATGTATTAAGCTGGAATAAATTTTATTTTTAACGGTATGCAATCTGTATGATTAATGAATGAACAGTATATAAATAATGAATGCTATATTAAACACTAAGTTTATAATGCACTTCAAACCAATTATGTTTCATATCAAAACAAAACATTAATCTAAACGACAAAATAAAATAAAAATTATATATAGTCTAAACAAATAAACAGTCATTAGTTTTGCACAAGATAATTTGAACATGCTTCATGTTATGGCCAACTTGACAACATCTACTGCAAGTAACTTTGGACCTTTGGAATTTCACATCAGCAACCCTCTTTCATATATAATTCATTTCATTTGAAAATCAACATAATTCTCTGTTTCATTAAAAAAAATAACAATTAGTCTAACATTATACAAATCAATTAGAAATATGTTAAATGATATTAACTTTTCATTTCAAAGACAATACAAATTTCATCCATAAAAATCATTATAATAACAATAAAATTATACACACTCGTCATTATTTTTTCATACAAATATCATTCAGACAGTACATTACAAAACAAATTTCATACAAAACATAATATTTCACATTTAATACTCACTTAATACACATTTCATACAACAATCATCATTCATACCAAATTTATACATTTTCATACTCATTTAATATACATTTCATACAATACGATTATTCATTCAAACTATATACATTTCTCGTCCCAAATAATTAATTATTGTCACCAACTTCATACAGAAATAACAAAACTAATATAAACTCAACAACTTCACATTTAATACCAATTTAAAACACTTGTACTACACTTCGTCAAGAATTCTAATTTTTTTTTTACATATTTCTTAACAAACTTTTCATACATAATTCATTCGACTTATACTATCAAATTCATTATCAAATAAAATAAATTTTCATAAATTCGTCAACATTATAATTAAATTAGTTTTACAGAATAATTAGCACACTTTCATACAAATTTCATTTAATTTATTCTATCAAATTTATTCATAAAATCACATTAAATTTATAATTTCACAAAACAACAACCGTATACAAAATAAACAAATAAAAAAAAATACACTAATTTTTTTACATTTCACAACAGTAAACATAATATGACTCCACCTTCAATTAATCGACAGTTTAATTTGATCATTTTTGTTCATTTCGCTATCATTCTAAAACAAACGTTAAACAATAATAAATACTAACCCGAAGGATCCCATCTTTTACCATGTTTGATTAAAACTGATATGCAGTTGTCCATCACAACAAAATCAAGAATTTTCAAAGATGAAAAAAACTTCAATTACTCGAATGTGGGATTTTTTTTGTTGAAAATTGAAGAGAGAAACGTTGAATTTTTTTTGTTGCAAATTGAAGAGAGAGAAACGTTGAAAAAAAGAGAAGATAAAATCTGAATTTTTATTTGATTTTAACTGATTTGAGTGAATTAAGGATACTAAATAATCTTAATTAGTTTAAATCCCTTAATTCGTGCTATTTATTAATTATCTACAAAAAAAATGATATGATCTGATTTTTTAGTTTATCTTAACTGATTTTGAGTGAATTAAGGATAAA